CTCTCCTCCTCCGCCATCCCCACCCCCAGCGCGCCCTCCCTCCCTTCTTTGCCAGCTTTTCTTCTTTTCCCTCGCCGGCTGCTCCGCCGCGGGCTTTAACACCCCCCGGACCCCCCATAAATAAAAGGGGTGCATTAGAGAATAACAGAGGCGCCTCCCTCCAACGCCCAATACGGCAGCGCAACTGCGCCAGAGACCCTGCTGCGATTCTGCGCCCGGAGCGGGGGCGCCCTTCCCTTCGGCCGCCTAGGGTAGCAGCTGTTCGGAAAAAGCCCGGCTCCTGGCAGTCCCTCCGCATCTCGGGGGCGCGGGGACCCCGAGGCGGCAGGGGAGCCAAGGCTGGATTCGGAGGTTTGCCCTGGTTTTTCCTAAGTCAATGAATGCAGGAGAATCGGACACATCCCTGCCCTAGTCTTCCCTCTCCGCCTCCTGCGCCTCCCCAACACCACGTCCGAACAGCCTGGTACGCCAAGATATTAAATCTTATTATTCTTTTTAGAAGCCAAAATGCCGACTTATGAGAAGGAGCAGGGGACGAATTGGAAACGCCGGGGGAATCGGCGGGCGGGACGCGCCGCAGTGTCTCCGGCTGTCAGAAATGCAGTATGGGTGCCTGGCCAGCCTGGGTGAGGGGCTGACTGACATTTAAATGCCCTTTCGGAGACGAAGAAAAGTCAGCAGCTGCGGCGCTCTCGATCACACATAAGGACAGTAATCCTTACTCCAAGAAGCTCGAGATGCAAAGGGCTTTCTGCTCACCACGAAGCATAGCTTCCCCCCACACACCCCCAAAACCAAAGCAATTAATGCAATAAAGCTGGAATGTCCAGCCCGCTGGGCTCTGCGTCAATATCCATTGGCAAAAATCTCCAAAGGCTTAAAACACACACACACACACACACACAAACCCCGCACACCCGTTTCCCTCTGCGTTCCATCCTCCCATCTTGACAACTCACTGTACCCCATCCAGTTCTGCTTCGGTCCCCACCCCACCCCGACCTCCCACAACTACTCCGAGAAGTGTCAATAAGACCGGGATGGGAGAGAAGACACCCCAACTCGGGTATTGGACTCATCTCATCAATAAAGCGGCAGAAAAATAAATTAAAACACAAATAGATCCGAGGGCTTACCGGGTTTCCCACTCTCCGAAGGAAATCCAGGTTCCAACACCGGGCAAGGAGCGCCTGTCGGAGGAGCGGGTCGTAGGCAGCGGCCCGGAGAAGTGTCTTTCCAAATAGATCTCCGCTCCTGGAGAGACGCGTTCTCTCTCGCTCGGGTGTTGTAAGTTCCAGGGGAAAGTGCTCGCCCGCTGCAATGGGCAAAGTTTTCGTGGATGCGGCGAGGGTGGCGGATCTCTGGCAGAGGTCGGCGGGCAGGGTGGGGAGCAGGAGGAGGCTGGGCCGGAGGTGAAGCCCCGCTCTCACTCCGGATCTCAGCCCTGAGCGCCCGGAGCGCGCCTCTGCTCGCCCGGCTCGCTAGGTTCACTCCGGCTGGTCGCCCGCTCGCTCCCTCTGCCTCTCGCTGGAATTACTACAGCGAGTCCGATAAGCCGGCTTTTATAATCGGGGTTACTTCGACCCCTCCCTCGGTCCTTTTTCCCGCCAAGCCTCGAATGGCCCTGCCCTTGCCGAGGGGGCAGGGGGAAGGAGGAAGGCGGCGGCCGGGACCCGTGAACCGCGGAGGCTGCGGCAGCCGCAAGAAGCGCAGCCCGGGGGGTTCTCGGTGGGGCAGACCCTGGCCTATAAAGGGCCGGTGGGCGGGGATTCGCGAGCGAGGATCTTTTTTCTCTCCCTCTCCCCCGGCTTTGGGAATCCGGGAGGGGCGATTGTGCAGAAGGAGGGCAGGGGAGGAGACTCAGCCTTGCAGCCCAGCACCCTGGTGCGCGGAGGGATCGGATGTAAATAGAGTTAGGTCTTTGCATGAATTAACTGAGCGCGCCTTCATTTTCTCTCGCCGGCGTTCAAACCCGGTGCCTTTCTCTGCGGCTCCTCCGGCGGCGCCGCGCTCTGCTTGAGTTTGACAGGCCGCTCACCCGTCCTGCGAGCTGGAATCATCGCAGGCGGAACAGCTGAGCTCTCGACGCTGAGAACACACCGTGTGCCCACGGCCACGACAGGCACGTCCCGGGCGGCCGGCCGCTTCCCTAAGGCTGGGGAAAGGGCAGCCCTTGGAATGAGCCCTATGCAGAGAGGAGGAAAGAAAGGGTGTTTGTGGGCGCGCGCAGAGTGTGTGCGAGGTGTTAGTGTTGATGGGGCCAAGCGATAAAAGGTAGAGGGAGGCAACCGATGCCCGGGATTATTAAAATAACTCCGCAGCGCACTGCCACGTCTGCTTGGAGAGCGCGCTCTGAATACATGCCCATTGCATTTGTTGGGGGTGTTATGCTTTCTGTGTGGAGAGCTAGCTCTGTTGGGTGTCTTCCGCCAGAATGAACCCCCTTGTACTCCCCCACCGCACCCCGTGCCCCTCGGAGTTCCAATTCCGCAGCCAGGTTTCAGGAAAATCCCATTGGCGCCCGTGGCTCAGGTTAGCACCAGTCCGGGGCTCCCAGGTTTGGGGGAAGTCAAAGGCGCCAGACGGGAGAATATTGGGGAGGGGTGGCCAGAGCCGCCAGACCGGACCCCCCAGAAGTGGGGTGGGGAGAGCGAGCTCGCAGACCTTGCCTGGGGTATCAGAAGAGACCCCAGTGAGGGAAACCGTTAACCCTTTCCTCCTTGGACCAACCGGACGTTTAACTTCCTTTCCTAGTCTTCTTTTCCCTTTATTATTCGAATCATGATCACGCACGAAATAATGCATTGGTGCTGATCAAAGGAGAGGAGCCAAGTATTACTTCCCTGGGAGGGGGAGAGGGGCGTGAGCCAATTGGAAATTGGCCGAATTTCAGGCAGGAGTAATTTCCTAGTTCAGTGCCCCTACATTTTTGCTCTGCATGCCATGGTGAAAGTTCTCATGTATAACCCGCGTACATCTATGTACATTTCATGTACACGTCGACCCAGAATGCTGTCCACCCAACACGACATATGATTTGTCCTCTGCCTGAATGGATCTGTATTTAATATTTAATGCCCATTGGCTCGCAATTTGCGATTTGGCACTGTCCTAGGGCCGTGGTCGGCAAACTGCGGCTCGCGAGCCACATGCGGCTCTTTGGCCCCTTGAGTGTGGCTCTTCCTAAGCCTGAGGAGTACCCTAATTAAGTTAATAACAATGTACCTACCTATATAGTTTAAGTTTAAAAAATTTGGCTCTCAAAAGAAATTTCAGTCGTTGTACTGTTGATATTTGGCTCTGTTGACTAATGAGTTTGCCGACGACTGGCCTAGGGCATTGAACACAAAGGCCATCATCTTCCCGGCCCCGGTCCTTCCCCCAAAGGCATTTTAAGTAAACTTTTCCACCTCTCACCCCACCCCACCCCCTTTCCATTCCAAAACAGAAAGAAAAAAAATTCGGAGGGGGGGGGGGTCGCGCGTACGGTGTGTTTGTATTCAAGGTAAATTATTAGCCACTGAGTTTGCAGCTCAGCGTTCGATTGTTAAGTGAGTAGTAACTTCCTCCAAATCAGGCGCGCAGCACCATTCAGCTTTGAGGATTGCAAACTGCTCCAGCCTCCAGGCCTTCGCCGCAAACGCGGGGAGCCACCAATCCCTGGTCACGGTTTTGCTGCCAAGTATTCCCCCGCCCCCTCCCTCCCCCCAACTCCGGGCTGCCCTTGCGAAAGTTAAAGTAAGTGTGCCCTCTACTGGC